ACTGTAGAAGGCTGGTTTTAAACATGGCTGAGCCAGGAATCAGTTTCTGTTTTCTGTGATGGAGTCACTCTTAGGCAGGCCTTCTCTACTTGGTAGCGTTACATTGTATTGTGAAAAGATAACTTCTCTTTTATACTAGTTTCAGCAAAAGTTCCAAGGCTGATGCTTATTGAGCTGATTGATCAGGTGTGTGTCACATATGTCCATCCCTGAACCAATCACTGCAATCGGGATAAAACACACTGATTAATCTTCTCCTAGATTTGGCATTGAAGTTCCTTTCACCCATACTTCATGGACAGAGTGGACAAGGGGTGGTTCCACAAATGGAAACTAAGATGGGGAAATATACACTGGGCAGGTGGAACCAGCCAATATCCACTAGAGGGACTCTGTACTGACTGTCGCCATGAAAGAGGGAGGTGACAACATGCCACTTGGTATAGAGGTGGTACTGACCATGTATTTGCCTCTTGCAAAAGGATTGAGAGAAAAGTCACCCAAATGTCAGGTCCCAAAATCAGGGAAGGAGGAGGCCCGGGGAAGTCACCAGCCCACATTCCCTAAACATCCACCCATATGCCATCTTGGGTGCATGTTCCTGGGGCATTTCCCTGGGAATATAAATCTCCAGATAATGGTTGGTGCCATATGACAATCCAGATAATTTATTCCCCACCCTGGAATCTGCTGCTTGTCAGGGCTTTAAGGCACCAGTTCATCTTCATCAGTGGTAGACATCTGTAAGTTTGAGTCATAGCACTTTCTAGGGCAGGTAACTACCCAGAACAAGGACATCATTAGAAACCATTACAGAACAACATTTTGCATTAACTGCTGCATATGATGCTCACTGTTTCTTTGCTGATATTACCAAATGAAGGCTGTTTCTTATTCATTTTTACTGTCATTGTCATGGTAACAAGGATCATCTAATTCATTTACATTACCCCTATTGCTGTAGAACCTAGATGATGTTCCTCAGGCTGGTCCTGATTACCAGACTGCTCTGTATGGCCAGGCTAGAGGGACTATAGCAGTTCAAACGTGAGTGTTTCCTCAGAACCCCCATCCAAGCTCATATCACACAATAATGCAATGTTTTGTTCCCTTTCTATGTCTCTACTAAATTGCGAGTTCTTTAACAACAGGAAGCATCTAATTCCCAATATACCCTGTGTTCTGCATATTATAACCACTCAATACATGTTTGTAGAGTAAGTACTATTCTTAGTGATTGCAAAACAAAGAGGAATAAAACATAGTTCCTAACTGAGAAGCTCAAAGTCTATCAATTACAGAAACAACAATACTAATGATGACATCAGCTAATGTTCATTGAGTGCTATGTGCTAGATACTGAACCACATACTTCGCATGCATTATCTTGTGTAATGATCTTGACAGTACATTACTTGACAGTAATATACTATTATTACTCCCATTTCACAGATGAGGAAGCTGAAGTTTATGGATAAAGCTAAAGTTGGATCATTTGAAAATGGCAGAGTCAAGGTTTTGGGGGAGTTTTTGTTTTGAGACAGGGTCTTGCTGTGTCACCCAGGCTGGAGTCCAGTGACACAATCTCAGTTCACTGCAACCTCCACATCCAAGATTCAAGCAATTCTCCTGCCTCAGCCTCTCAAGTAGCTGGGACTACAGGTGTGCGCCACCATGCCTGACTAATTTTTGTATTTTTAATAGAGACAGGGTTTTGCCATGTTGACCAGGCTGGTCTCGAACTCCTGACCTCAGGTGATCCCCCATCTCGACCTCCCAAAGCTCTGGGATTACAGGCATGAGCCACTGCACCCCACCAGAGTTGGGGTTTGAACTCTGGTCTGCCTGATTATAATACATGTTCCTAACCAATAAATTAATACTACCTCTGTTAAAGCAGGATGAATAAAAGGTGGGGGAAGTTGGAATAAATTAATACTCAAAAGATTGGAAGGAGGCTCCCGGCGCCAAACAAATCAAATCCAAGATTTGATTTGTTGACATCAAATCAAATCTTCAATAAAGATATTAAGTTTCTCAGGAAGGTACCTAATGTTAAAAAAAAAAAAAAAAAGATATTAAGCTGGTCTAATATTTTAATTAGTGAGGGCCTTTGAGGAACCAAGCAGAGGAACTCAGTAAAGACCTGGAAATATGTTGATGGCACTTTCTTAAAGCCCATGGAAATGCACGTGGACCACTTGAAACAAGTAAGCACCTACTGTTCCTTGTTTCCTCTCTCAGCTGGGCAGAGGGGCCAAGTGGAGGAAGTGTCTTCATGGCCTTCTTTCAATATAGGATCAAAAAGAACAAAAGAAATGAGCTCTGCCTCTCACGAGTTTATTTTACCTTCTCTCAGAATGGAGTCAAGAAATGGAGATCAGGGACCACATTTGTAAAAATCATGTAAGTTCTCTAACTTAACCCCAAGCAGTTATTTCTGCTCTTTGTTGGCGTCTACATAGAGATCTCAGCAGGAACCAGAGGAAGGGGCAGAATAGAGGAGTGACCAGACTACCAGGCTGTTAGACTGGGAGGAAGTGGGTAGAGTAGGTGCGAGAAGCTTCTCAGAGGAGAGAAAAACAAAGCAATGATGCCATGAGGCCTGTGGCCAAGTGGGTAGCAGAAACGCTGAAGTCTGGTTGAGTGTAAGAAGATTCCTTGCCAAGCTGAGGGCAGGATTTCTGGAAAGAACCTAAGAAAGGAGCTAATGACCCCTCAGAGCTAGGACTATGCATCACAAGTAGGCCTGCGGAGGTGTGGGAAATGTCTGTTAGTGTCCAACAACAAGACTGTGTCCCCATGATCTCCTGTATTTATGCAACATTTGTCCTGTACAGGTGCACATGGATGTGCTGTGTGTATGCACTGAGCCAGGTGATGGGAAATCTTGAGGAGCAACTTTCCACCAGGAATCTTGTGTGGAATACAGACAAGTAAACTGGCAATGGTGATACAGTGTGAGAGACCCCCAAAAGGGCAGGCAGAGGGTGCTCTGGGATTGTAAGGAAGATACCTACCCAAGTCCTTGCTGGATGGGGCAGCAAGGGGGCTGGGTGGGCTTTGGAAAGCCAGGTGAGCACTAAAGAATGAGCAGGATTCACCCAGGTGAAGCATGGGAATGGGAGCAAGGTAGCAGAGGGGTCTTTTAGAAGCCCAGAAGCAGCATGGCTCAAAATCAGGAAGTAAGAAAGCGCATGGCATTTCTAGGAACTACAGGAAGCTCAGTCCAGTTTGTGCTCAGAAGGAGAGGTGGGGGGTGGCAAGACATCGCCCAGGGCCAGGCACTCTCAGCGTTTGACTTCATGCCGAAGCCAGGGGGCCTTCATTGCTAAGTTTTCCTTCTGAGGGTGGAAATGATCAGGACCTCTTACAGGGCTGTCTTGGGTGTTTAGTGCCACAACTGCTATAATAAAACAAGATTCTTGCTCCTCAAAAATGCCTGATTCTGCATCCAATCATCTTGGCAGGCAGAACCAAAGGAAGCACTTTGGTCCTCTTTTCTTGGCCATAAAAAACCAGGTCTTGGTGTCCTAATGTTATTAAAATCCTCATAGGCTGAGAAGATGCATTTTGGGCCTCAGAGCATGTCAAAAATTACGTAATTTTTCCAGCCTAATTCTAGCTCAGTGGGCTCAACTTTCATGGCAACTGAGAATTACCTAGAAAGTTTTAAAAAGAAATGCTGATGCCTGGGGCACCCTCAGGGATTCTGATTCAATTGTCTGGAGCCAAGCTGGGCATTGGTATTTTTTAGAGCTCCCCAGGTGATCCCCAGGGCAGCCAGGGTTGAGAATTGCTGCAGAATGTGCAGCCTAGCAACGGAAACTCTTGAGAAAGGAACGGACGCCTCTTGCCAGGTACTCCAGCCGAGTAGATTCTGGGTCAACTTTTCAAATCTTCCTGGCAGATCATCAAAAGCAGCCTCTGGCAACTGCTGAGACCTCTTGGTGCTCCTCCCACTCCCCCCCACCCCCTTTTACAGGTAGATGCAAAAAGCCCTGTTCTAAAGCTATTATAGGAGGCTGGAGAGGAGGGCTACCTCACTCATGCCTGGCACCTCACGGCATCATCTGGCTCCCTGAGCCACATTGTGCAGCACTAAGAAGCTTTGTCAGGGATTTTTTTTTTTCTTGCATTTACCCGGAAATTCCAAGCAGGCCTCATTAGCACATTACTCACACTCAGCCAATCCCACATATCACCTTCCTCCTCACCCCCACCTCCAGGCTTTTTTCTCCCCCATTTGCCCATTTATTCACTGCAGTTGGATTTTGTTTCCTGTGCCCTGAAAAGCACACTTTTCGAATGGAAATGCTGCTGGAAGAACGGGGGTGGCTGTGAGCTCCACGATCGCGGCCCAACACCCCCCATTGCCCTCCTAGTGAAATCCCATCCATCAGGAGCAGAGAGCGACAAGCCCTCTAACTACTTCCCAAGGCACTGCCCTGTGTTGTTCCTTCTGTACCGAGACAGCAAATCGTTAGCTGGAGCTCCCAGGTTGTTTCTTGCAGCAATTAACAGCTGCCCTGGTGTTAATTCCCGATCAATAGCCCCAAGATACTGCTGCTCTTACAGCTGTCGGGCTGACAGCCTCTACAGCACATTTTGAAAGTAACTTGCCAGTGGTGGGACTCTCTTCTCCTTGGGCACACCCAAGAAAAGTCCTCACCAGGCTTCAGAAGGAGTACCAAGTGCCACTCACCCAGTGTGGGGGCCTAGGGCAGGGTGAGCAAGCAGGTGGCTCCACCCCCCTCTTCTGGTCAGGTGATAACTTGGGGAGACAGTGGAACCGAGGCCCCGCACTGCCAGAGTAGCAGCTCCTCGAGATATTAATGAAGTTCTCATTTTTCAATTTTGGCTTGTTTGGAACTTTTTTCTGTTTGAGATGGCTATATATTTCTTCCATCTAAAACCCTCATACAAATCCATCTTCTTTTTTTTTTTTTTCTAACTCAAATTGCCAGTTTCTCATTTCTTGCCTGTGTTGCTCCCTCCAGCTCCCTGTGGACAGAATGAGACCCGAGAGGATGGTAAAATAATCCAGCTGCCTCCCTGCAAGACAGGAGCTTGGATCGTGCCAGCCATCATGGCCTGCTACCTCTTAGTGGCAAACATCTTGCTGGTCAACCTCCTCATTGCTGTCTTTAAGTAAGTGGATCCTTCGGAGCACATGGGATGGACGAGGACAGCAGGGGTGAAGGGGAGTCGATGCTTCAGAAAACAGCGGGTTTTTCTCACTTGATTATCTTTGGTCTCTATTTTAGCAACACATTTTTTGAAGTAAAATCGATATCCAACCAAGTGTGGAAGTTTCAGAGGTATCAGCTCATCATGACTTTCCATGAAAGACCAGTTCTGCCCCCACCCCTGATCATCTTCAGCCACATGACCATGATATTCCAGCACCTGTGCTGCCGATGGAGGAAACACGAGAGCGACCCGGATGAAAGGGACTACGGCCTGAGTAAGCTTCAAGCGACAGCCCAGCCGCCACATTTCAGAAATCCCTACCACTTCCTATAGACAATCATGCAGGATCACATGGCCACCTAGTTCCTCCCGCCTCCTGCAGGTTGCAGACAGCTCTGAAGACTTGGAGAGGACTGGGGGATAAGGGAATTGGCTTGAATGAGAAATAATGTCAGAAAGAAGATGGTAGAGGCTGAAACTGAGCACTCTTAGCCTCATGTCTTTCTTAGAGAGAGACAATCAGTCTCCAACAGGGCTGTTTTAGCACCTTCATAAGTTCTAAGTTTCTTGCTTTCCAGAGATCTCAACCAAAAATACATCAACCATATTAATATGCCACCCAAGGCCACATTATATATAATTTAAGCAATAATTTCTGGACCTATAATTTTTTTCTGATCTTAAACATTTTCCTAAACCTTAGGGGTTGTGCCTAGATCGCCTCATGAAAAGATCAGCCCTACTTTCTGTTACTCAGAGGACAAAACAGAAGACCCTTCACCATCCACCTTCCAGCCCAGTGTTTAAACGGAGGTTCTATTAGCATTGAGGTGGAACAATTCCTTGTTGTGTAGGATTGTGCCGCACATTGCAGGAAGTTTGGCATATCCAGCCTCCACACATTAAATACTAGTGACTCCCGCAGATTTCCTAAATACCCCTTGGGTATCACGCTCCATTAAGAACCACTGGGAATCCAGTCCCATACCAGGAAGCTCCTACAATTTCTCAAAGTATGTCAAACAGGCCACCTACATCAAATCTACTGAACAAGAGCCTCTGGGATTATAGCCCAGGAGTCTACCTCTCTCTCTATGGTCACCAGTATATCTAAGGTTTGACACCAAAACAATTTGGTCAACAGCTTCTCTAAATCTGAAGCTCTTAAAACCCTCCCTGACCTTGCAATGCCCAACTTCTTTTTAGACATTAAAATTAGAGAGACCTGGGAATTCCAGAATTCACTGTTTTCATCTGAAACACAAATTTAAGCAAAGAGAAAAGTTGGAGGGGTCGAGGTGGATGACCTGTGAAATAAACCCTAAGCTTCTCGACTCAGGAACTCTAGCCAATGTGGAGAAGCATAAGATACAAAATCAGGGGCAGCGGGATGCTCTAATGAATGATAGCCTACCGTGGATAAACATGCTGAGGGCTAGCTCAGAGTCCCAAAATAATTTACAATAAAGCATGACTCATTTGTGGTAGAAGAGGAACCTCACTTATCCAGAGAGCTTAGGAAGAGGGTGTTTGTGAATACCATGCAGGAAGTAGGACGGTCCAGAGATCCATTTCCTTTCTGGTGCTCACACCCTCACAGAAGGCCAGAGAACCTGAACAAGCCAGACATTGGGCTAGGTGGGAGTCAGCTCCATGCAGCTGCTGTTCAGGGTTTTCTTGTTGTTATGACCAATGGTAGCAATAAAAGCATTGCCAGGTCACTGGATGCTCAGAAGGGAAGAGCAGCCATGTCCGCTTTCTCAGAGAAGAAAGATTTTAGTGCTGTGGCTGGGTCAGAAAGGGTGAAAGTCAGAGACTGCATTGTATGAATCAGTTGGGGAAAGTGAACTTTTCACTATCCATCTGTAGCCTTAATTAAAAGAACCCAGGGCACTGCCAAGTTCTGGCAGAGTCTCAGACAAAAACACTCTGAAATGTAAAATTTAATTTTTATTGTTAAAAGTTGACATATTGATGGAGTTTTAAAAAAATAGTATTTCATTTTTGTTAAAAAGGCATTACACATAGCCAAAGAAGTTAAATTAAGTGCCAGCAGAATAAGTGTTAAATATACTCCTTTGAGTCTCAAACATAGCAATAGCAATAGCAGCAATAGCAATCGTCTGAGCTTTCAGGGCCTCTCTAACTGCCTTTTTTCATTCCCCTCCCTCCAGGCTAATGCTCTGTGTAATTTCATGAGTGAATCTCAAGTGTCCCCTGTGATACAGGTCTTCCTCACCTCAGGAAGCCTCCCATATTTGACAAGAGCAGTCTGATTTCTGGTATTTTCTTTTCTCTCGCCTGCTTTTACATTCATACTTTCCATGCCCCAGGCAAATTCAGGCTAATGTCTCAAAGCAAGCAAGAGGCACCTCAGCAAACTAAATCCCTGAGGGTCCAAACTCCAGGGCTCCAAATATTTGGAACAATCCCTATCACATCTCGAGGGCGTGGGATTAGAAGAGCAACTTGTCCCATTTAAGAATTGGCAAAGCAGTTCTCTCCTCCAACCCTGCTTCATAAACAACTTAAAGGTTCAATTTTCCACTGGGCTCTTTCTACTGCTATATCAGTTGTGAATCCATTTACCTTCTATTGACAGAAACCAGGTTAACAATAACGCAAATAAATAAGGTTTTCTTTTTCTCACTTAACAAAAAGTGAAAAGTCCAGAGCTCAACGATGGCTCATTGAAGTCAAAGATCCAGAGTCCTGCTATTTTTAGGCTCAGCTATTCCTTTTGTGCTTTCTTGTTTCATGGCCACAAAATAGCTGCCTCACCTCCAGTCATCACATTCATGTTCCAGGCAGGAAAAAGAGGAGAAGGTAAAAAACTGTAGAAAGAAGCAACCACATCTCTATATTTTATCAGGAAAATAAAATCTCTTCCCAAGACACCACTCCTCCCTGCAGCAGACTTCTTTTGTTTCTTGGCCCAAACTGGGTCCTTGTGGTTGCTGCTAGCTTCAAGGGAAACTGGAAATGTTTGTGTTGGGTTTCTAAGCTCAGTAGCAGGAAAGGGGAAAAGGAGAATGTGGTTGCAAAAGGGCTTTTAGTAAGGCCAATCAACAATGTCTCTCTACCACACCCCCAGCCCAGAAGTTTTTGAGCTTTTAAGATACTCTATGCTCTGAATAACTTCCCTTTCCTTGATTTAGCTTTTTCCCTGGCCTTGCAACTTGCCTAATTCTACCCAGCTCCTGCAGCAAACCAGATATGCCCAGGCGAACTTCAGAGACCCATAATAAATTTCATGTTCAGAAAGATGATGGTGATGCAAGTTGCCTAATTGGATTTGGGTTTCATTTGAGACCTAGCAAGGAATCTAGGCCCCTTTTCCCACCTGGATTTATACTGGGAATATCACTAGTCCCACAAATCAGATGCCATCGCTTTTACTTCTCTCCCTCATGGCTTCCTTTTTTTTTTTTTTTTCAGAACTCTTCATAACCGATGATGAGCTCAAGAAAGTACATGACTTTGAAGAGCAGTGCATAGAAGAATACTTCAGAGAAAAGGACGATCGGTTCAACTCGTCTAATGATGAGAGGATACGGGTGACTTCAGAAAGGTGTGTTCTGTGGACACATGCCTCCCGCAGATGTGTTGTGCCAAGGCATGCTTTATCCACTGAATTTATTCACACAGTCACAAAACAGACCTTTTGTGTTTGTTGTTATTGTCTGAGAAATCATGGAGCTTATGAGAACAGAACATTGCCCCAAGTGTCTATAGATCAAAATCTCAGCCTTACAGATCCTAGACTTCTCTAGCAGGCAGTAGCAGCTGTCCTCCCAGACAGAAGAGAATTTTGAGTACAGGACAGGCCTGAGGTTGCTGGCTCAGAGCAGACACTGGAAAGTTCTGACCCAGACAAAAACCAAATGAGACTCAACCTGACTCTGGGCTCTCCATTAATTTATGTTTTGTGTAGACTATTGAATGTCTTTTTCAAAGGAGTTCAACAGCCCTAGTGCCTGCCTTATATGGATGCCCAATACCTTCTGAATAAATGACAGTAAGAGAGTTGTAAATTAGCTAAAATAATAATTAGGATTTTTCCCCAGAATTGTTTTGTTTTTCCTTTTTATAGAACAAGATGAAAGCAAAAAAATAAATAAATAAAAGCAGATTTTTCTACCAAGTGATTATATACATTTAGATCTCATTGGACAAATAGTATAGCCAGCAGGGCTATAAGAAAAATCTTCAGTCTAAAGGGTACACCTCAGGGTATTAAAAAGAGAGACAGCAAGATCTTCAAATAAAGAGAATTATTTAAACCTAATAAGTGTAGCTTTATGAAAATACACTTACATTTTCTTATTTTTCTTATTTTGCTGTAGACTAATAAAAACTTCATTCCAGGCTGGCACATGCAAAACCTAGCATTTGGGAACCACTATTCCGAAGAACACCCAGAATATTACAAAACATAGGTGTAACTTTACATTTTAAGGATTTGCAATATAAAGATGGCAGAAGCAAATTAGAAATGGTATGGAAAGGCCTAACATACTGACGACTTTATTCAGTATGACTCAGGCTTTTAAGATTCAAAGCAGTCACCTCAAGTTTTTATGAAATGACATTTTGTCTGCTCATCCACTTCAGGCTTCTCTAGTGGTTCTGTAGGAATTACATAAATGGTATATTTCGTCCCTGGCCCTTTCTTTCTTTGAAGAATTCAGTCTATATAAGTAGGTATATACACATATGCCATTGAGTGATAGTATCCATCGGTACTCAGCCAATACTAATAAAGTCTAAAGCCATGCACAGATTTTATACACATCTGTTGCTGCAAAATAGACCATTTTATGATGATATAATGTAAAGCAATTTTCTGGCAAACGGAAGAAGAAACTAAAATCTGAAGATATTTCTCATTCTGAGGCCTTGAGAAAGCTATTTATTAATGGACATATAACCATGTGGTCCCCAGAAATTGTTCTATGTGGACACATTACCCATTGCTCAGACATGTTTACAAAGCGTTTGTCTACAGGCCTTTGAAATGCTTTTTAAATTCAGAAAAGCCGTAGACCTGGGGCGAAAGAGGGTAGGGAAAAAAGAGTGTTAAGATGCAAGGAAGCCTTCGCCTCCCTGAGGAACAAGAACAAGGAGGTGCAGGCACCAGCGCATGTGAATAAATTGTGACCATTTCACTAATTCTTTCTGAAAATAAACAGAAAGAAACTACAGTACATCCACTTGAGCCTCTGGCCCCATGCCTGCAAACCCTTTAAGAATACTCCTTCCCCAGGGCCCTGTACCCTTCTGGGTGATTACAGAGCTCCATCCTCAAAGAGGATGGCCAAGGTGAGCAATTCTCAGATGTCCAGGACAGAATGTAGACCCATCTTCCCTGTGTCCTAGGCATTAGGCTGACCTTCTGGAGTAACAGGGGCCTGAAAGACCAAGATGACCTCAAGACAAAGCCCAGGTGCCAGAGAAACAAACCTAAGCCAGGCTTCATTCTGCTGCTTCTGTTTGTGTGGGTTTTGGAATTTTAATGCTGTTGTTATCATTGTTGTTGTTGGGTTTTTTTTTTTGCATTTGTAAGTGAACCAAAAAATAATGTCTCTCAACACTGAAATTGCACTCAGCAAAACATAAACACCATGGGGTGCGCAATGGAACAGAGACTAACCAAGGGAAGAGTAGATCCATATTACCAATCTCAAACATCTTCTAGAACATGTCCATTCTGAATGGAGTGGCAGGTGAAATCACCTGTCCTATTTACATTTGGTTGAGCGAGAGAAAGATAGGGATAGAGACATATACACATATGTACATATATGTATGTATATACACACGTTTGGAAAGGTACATATGGTTAAATTTACCTAAATTAGCTGTGTATATTCTATACAGTATGTAGAATATAATTTTACATTCACGTTAGATAACCCCAGTAACAGAGATTTGAAATCAACATTAAGAGCTGCCTCTTTGTCCTAGTAAAGGACAAGGAGTTTCTTTCCAGAGTGAGCTTCATATTCCTCCTCCTACCACTACCCTTAAAACACAAGTTATTTATGCAGGTTGTATTTGCATGAATCTTCTTAGAAATATGAAGATACTCCCATAATTATCCATTTAAATGGATCATTATTCAATCACACTTTTGCATCACAGTGGCATGTAAAGAGCTAAATACAATATTCAGGATATCATTAACACCTCATAGGAACTTGATTCTGAAAAATCCTTGTCTTTCCTCTTTTTTATATAGCAATGACCCTGATGCATCTAGAGCAATACAATTCTAGAATATAATGCGCCAGTAGAGTAACCAATGCTCTCTGCTTTACTTGGGACAATATCTAACTAATGATAATCATACTCAAATAACCAAGCTTTTCATCTATTAGGCAACATTGGTGACTAGCTTTCCTCCCCCCTCCCCCCCGATGAGGAGTTGTGGACTCTTGGCTGAAGATAACCAATTCTTGATGCCTGTTCCATCAAATGCTGTGCTCACTATCCTTTTATGAGTTCAATTCTGTTTCAACATGTGAATACTGGGCTTTCACCATTGCCAGGCAGTACGCCACACACTAAGGATCCACAAGGCAGGCCTCCATCCTCAGGAAACATGCAACCTCATTGAGTTCTTGTGTGCATCCCAGCAGGGATGACCAGACACATCCAACCCAGTGGTTCTCAATCTTTAACAGGTCTCAAAATCATCTGGAGGGCTTGTTATAACACAGGTTGCTGGGTAGCCCCCCTTCCTATCCCTAAAGTTTCTGATTCACTAGATCTGGAGTAAGGCCTGAAAATTGCACTTCTAAAATGTTTCCAGATGATACTGATGTTATTGTTGACCCTGCTTATCTGGGAACCATACTTTGAGAACCACTGATGAAAACCAATGGACAGCTATAAGTCCAAACTTGGGAGAGGATGGTGCTGAATTATTCACTGTGGAGCATATAAAATTCTGGCGTCGTACATTTGGAAAATGTTCTGGAAGTCACTGAGTACAGATTGCTTGTACCCAAAGCAGTTGTTTCCTCCACACACCTGACCAATGGCAACTTAACAAACATGTTTTGAGCAACTGGCATGAGCGAGGCCTGAGTAGGAGGAAGGGATATAGGAACTCTGCTTTGAAAGAATGCACTGTCTAGTTACACCCAACCTTGATTTGAACACCTCCTGGAAAGGAGAAGAAACTGCCTATGCTACCAGTCTTAGGAATGAATACAGGAAAAGACTTTTCTCTCTGAAAGTTAAGGCCGGGTGCAGGTGCAGTGGTTCATGCCTGTAACCCCAGCACTTTGGGAGGCTGAGGTGGGCAGATTACCTGAGTTCAGGCGTTCGAGACCAGCCTGGCCACCATGGTGAAACCCATATCTACTAAAAATACAAAAATTAGCCAGGCGTGGTGGCAGGCACCTGTAATCCCAGCTACTTGTGGGAGCTAAGGCAGGAAAATCACTTGAACCCGGGAGGTGGAGGCTGTAGTGAGCAGAGAGCGTACCACTGCACTCCAGCCTGGACAACAGAGCGAGACTCCGCCTTGAAAGAAAGAAAGAGAGAGAGAGAGAGAGAGAGAGAGAGAGAAAGAGAGAAAGAGAGAGAGAGAAAGAAAGAAGGGAGGGAGGGAGGAAGGAAGGAAGGAAAAATTCTTTTCTCTCTGAAATAATGTTTTGCATATGTGAAGATCATTGTCATCTCCCACTGTGCTGTGTCTTTTCCAAAGTAGATATCCCAAGATCATTTAATTACTTATCCTGCTTTCCAGAAGATCATCTACTACCCTGCTCACTCTCTCAAGTATGCACTTTAAATTGTCAACATCCTTTAAATGTGGTGCCCAAGTTAAACTCAATTCCCTGTGTTGTAGTTAGAACCTAGATTTAATTCCTTTTTTTTTTTTTTTGAGCACCTACCATATACTGGACTAGTACATATAGAGTTCTCTCCATGGTATAATGGAAAGAACACAGTACAATGTGCATAATATAGTATAACAACATTTTAATACTAATTCTGCAATAACTAGCTGTGTGACCTTGAGCAGCTTACTTAACTCCTCTTAACCTATGTTCACATTCATAAAATGGAGTATTAAGACCTAACTATAGAGTATTAAAAGTTATTGAGATGCATATATAAGGTATTATGCTTTCAATAAATTGTGATTATTATTATTTTTGGACCTACACATTAGGTGTGCTATAAGATTATATTACTATTCTTAACAACCAAGTCACATCTTTGGTTCAGAGTACACTTTCAATGAATTAAACCAGGGCTTTTTTTTACATGAGCTGATTCAATATACTCAAACTACTTCATGTGAAATGTCTGTTTTAACCTAGAATCAAGACTTAATATTCATTACCATAAAATTTTTCTTTATTTTTTTCCCTTTAGCTCATTATTTCAGCACCTCAAGTAATTTTGGATCCTGATTTTTTCATCTAGTATATTAATTTTTCATCCTATGCACTTTAGGCCATCATTTGTTTGATAACCACACTTACTGTATCTTTGACTTAGCTCACCAAAATGTTCACAAGCAGAGATCAGGTGAACCAAGTCAGAGGATCA